CTTCTGATCGAGCATGGTTATTCCCTTGTGTCTGAGGGCAGGGTGTTAGGGATTATTGTTTGGATGGGTTCTGATAGCGGGTTAGTGTATGAGCCCTAGTAAGGTGTGGACCTTTCCGTTTCTTGGGGCGTGAGTCAGATCATTTAGCATGGTTGGTACGAGTGTGCGGTAGCAGAATTTTGGATTTGGTCTCGTGGGAATCAAAGGAGCAGTGAGATATCAAGGTTTGATATTCGAGGAGCGAATATCATGGTGATTGCTTGGGTAGGCGGTCTGGAGGCGGGTCAGGTCACTAGAGTTTCCAGATATTGGAAAAGGGTATATTAGCAGCAGAAGGGTTGGTTTAGTTATGGATTTGGGAAGTTCTGTGTGGTTTCAGTTGTTCATGGAAGAAGATTTTGGTGTGGAATGAGATCCTTTCGGTGGTGCCTTCGGGTGGTTGAATTTAATCTATATGTGGTTAAGGAGTGATTTCGAGGGCGAAATCTAATTCAAGTGGGGGAGAATTGTAACATCCGGATTTCCAGGCATGACAATTTGAGTGTTTCATACTGGGATATCAGGAGTGACTCGACGAGTTGACGCCTTACCTCGTCGAGTAAGATCGTGATGCGGTGACCTGTTTAATGAAGGGACTCGCCAAGTCGGCGCTGTTAAGGAAAACCCTAATTGTCCAATTTTAGGACCTATTTAAAGGTCCTTATGGCCTTCAGTGGCGACCACCTACACCCTTGAGAGACTCCTTTCGGACCAGAGAGCTTAGAGAGTAAAGGAGAGCCATCTTGAGCCTTTTTGGGGTGACATTGCAAAGGAGGAGGAGAGTTCTAGCAAGAGGGACCAGAGGAGGTTAATATTATGAGGCTTTGAGGCATGGAGCTTCACCTTGAGGTAACAAATTGGACCTTTCCTTCTATATGGTGTTGATTGCATGAATCTAGGGTTTCTTGAGCTTTGTCTTTAAGGGAATATGGAGTATACGAGGTCCCAATGTGGATTAAGCTTTAGATATGGACCTTAAGAGGTCCAGAGAGTCCTAACCTTCCAGGTTTATGCAGTCCCTTTGGGGTTATGGATCTAGGTTGCCATTTTAGGAGCTATTTCATCATATAAGGACATGTGAGTGTTGCATGAGCTTAAACAATGAGCCTTTACGTGCTTATTGGGTGTTAGAAGGTCATATCTATGAGCTAGAGAAACAGATATGACCTCATAAGGTCATTTGAGTGTTGCCATGGAGGAAACTCATCGAGTTCATATGGGGACTCGACGAGTCGAGTCGGGTTGCCCCACGATTCGTGACCAGTGGTAACCCGTCAAGTGAAAGGTTAACTCGATGAGTTGAGTGAGGCTTTATGAGGATTCAGAGGACACGCATGTACTCGCCGAGTCACTCGAGTGCACTCGGCGAGTCTGGTCAAAGTTTGACTGTTGACTAGAGTTGACTTCAATTGACCATGGTGTTTTGGTCAAGCTGATTCAAGAGAGGTCAAGGAGGGGTAGAATAGTCTTCTACCCATTATTTAGGGGTGAGGGCAAGAGATAAGTATTGATTAGATATGTTATCATGTTGGTAGGCGGAAGCTAGATCGAGGACGTCGAGCACGAGAGCTTTCTAGACATCCTTCAAGGTGAGTCTTCTCATTATACTTTACCTTGAGTGGTAATTAGAGTTATATGATAGAGTATCTTATATGCTATGTATGTGATGTGTTGCACTGCATTATTTCTATGTGATTTATGTTGTGTGTATTCCAGAGCTTTACAGAGATAGGACCGAAAGGTCCACAGAGTTAGAACCGAAAGGTTCACAGATTTAGGACCAGGGGGTCCACAGAGTTAGGGCCAGAGGGTCCACAGAGTTATAGCCTCAAGTGGCTAATATGTGTAATTTGATTAAACTTTTCAAAATACTAAGGTTTTAGAATTTAACATTTCAAAATTAAACTTTTAATCAACTTTTAAATTCCAAAACTTGAGGACAAATTTTGAAACTTTTCAAAACATTAGGGTTTAGAATTTAAATATTTCAAAATTAAACCTTTTAATCAAAAATTTAAATTCCAAAACTTGAGGGCAAGTTTTGAAACTATTCAAAACATTAGGGTTCAACTATTTAAATTTCAAAAACAAAACTTTTAAGTTCAAATTTAAATTATAACACCTAAAGGGGAAATTTTGAAACTATTCAAACTTTATCGAGAACATTTTAGATCAACAATTCAAATAAGGCAATTATCTAATTTTGACCTAGTCCAATTTCTTGCAAGATAATACACCAAATAATTCAAATAATTAAACTTAATCAAATAAGGAAGTAATTATCCGATTAATATGAAATTATCTTTTATTTTGTTGGCTAGGATAATCACCCAATATCATAAAAATCCGATTTCTATCAATAAAAAACGTTTGGGTAATTATCCCACAACAAAAATAGGCAAAAGACTCGAAAAATTCGCCATCTGACCCTCTGACTCTTCGAGTCAGGCTTGGACTCGTCGAGTCACCCAGTTGACTCGGCGAGTCAAGACGAAAAACCCCAAAAATCCGATTTTCAGCCAAAATTCAATCAAATAAGCATCAAATTCACTAACAAACAGCCCTAGTCTCTGATACCACTGATGGGTTTTAATCAATACATCATTCCTATGGTGTACATGCAAACCCTAATAGATTTGGATCTAGTTTGTCAAATGAACATGCAATTAATTATCCAAAGCCATAAACCCTAGATCTAACATATCATAAACTGAATTAGGGTTTAGAGAAGTACCTTTGATTGTTATATAGAAATAACAATCAATCCTTGGCTTTAGAAAGCTTAGTGCCTTAAGTGTTGCACCTCTGAGTCACAAACACCATATGCAACTTGGATGAGGAGGGAGGAGAAAGGAGACACCCAAAAACGGCTGGAAACCCTCATGGAACACTTAGCCACGTTTTTGGGTCATTAGGGGTCTTTATATACTTAGGCTATTAGGGCTTTGACCTTAAGAAACCCTAATTTGACTGCTTAAGCCCTAAGTAGTCCATGGACTCCTTTAATGATATCCCTTGGACGAATTCCTTATGGGCTTCCAATAGAATTCGTCCAACCTATATTATTAAGTCATCCATAGCCCAATTGCAATTATCTTATAATTACAAATTCAGTCCCCTAAGTTTAATTAATCTCTTTTAGCCACAAAATTAATTTCCTAATTAATTCTTGACTAATATTAATTAAACAATATGATTTCTCCTTTAATATATCATTCTCATAATATATTAATAAATCATAATTAAACCTTTCTCTCCTTAATTCATCCTACATATTGCTATGGTGAAGGCAACCCAAAAGGACCATGCTCATAGTCGGGTCAAGTACATACTAAAATAGTTATGGACTTAGATACTAATCCAACACCACATGTATTGAACCAACTTAGTCTTATCATAAAATTAAACATTACAAGAGACTTAATTACTCCTTAGTACGACCCAACAAAATCAAAAGTTAACAACACTTCTTCACGATCACCGGTATTGAAATAGCAAATGAAACAAGACAGTCTTATTTTTGTGTAAAAGATATGCAATAAAAACATGCTCAACGAATTTTGTTTTGCAAATTATATCAATGACCAAACCCAACTATTTTGTTGACCAATAACAAACCTTTTTCTAAAAAATCTCTAAAATTTACCCAGATTGGTTATAAATTTCAAACCACTTACACCAGTCAGAGTAGTTAGCATTCAGTCCCAATGTCATAAGTTCAAGTCCAAGTTCAAAGGAATCTTTTGTTAGCTAAACATTTTTTCTAACTTGAGTACATACAATGATGCAAATTATTCAATTAGAATATAACTAACATAAATATAAATATATATATATATATATTATATATATATATATATATATATATATATATATATATATATATATATATATATATATATATACCATCTAAATATATTTTCTTATAAATAAATCTCATGGCTTTCTATGAAGTCCATGTAACGGACTTCCAGCCATCACATCCAGACCAGACGACCTTAGTGTGCTAGATTTAAAGGAATCCATTGTGTCTACTTGTTCGTACTTCAAAGGTCACATAGTAGCTTCATTTGAATCACATTTTTTTTTTGTTATTATTAAGTTCATGACTTTCGATGGAACCCATGTAATGAACTTTCAACCCAATTAGTCCCAAACAAGTCGACTTTAGGCAATTAGATGTAGAACACCCCTCGGGGTTTAGTTATTCGAATCCCAAAGGTCACATATTAACTTAATAATATTATTTTTATTTATTTATTTTAATTTATTTTCTAGGTTTACCTCTGTATATTTTCGTCATTGACTTTTCTATTGTGGACATCTCACGGTCTATTACCATGAGAGGCTTTTAAGACATTTTTATCGGGACTAATGTTAACATGCAGGGACCGTAAGTATAGTTGGAAACTATGTCCCCAAGCAGTATACTTAGAAGGGAATGTGTAGAAAGACTTTTTAGAGCACTGGAAAGTTCGAGTTACTGGAATTTTCTATTATTTTTATGCTTTCCATAGATTGAGTTTAGTTCTAATTGAGCATTTATGAACTGTAAGACCTGGTTTCCGTAGGCTAACTTATACCAACAATTATGCTTTAGTATTGAAAAATGAAAACTTTTTCATTTTTCGTTTTGCATGGGTAGTTTCGGAAGATGTGTAAGTGTGTGAGAATAAACAACAACTATGCTTTAGTATTGAAAAATAGGTTATTTTTCAAATACATCATGCCCTCAACGTTGTGGCTTAGGGTCAACTCAGACAATATAATGTTTTTTTTGTTCAATTTTTCCAAAGTTAAATTTGAAGAATGACTTTAACTTTAGATTAAAATGATAAACTTATTGATAGAATTTCAAATTATCTTTGTATGTTTCATTTTCAATATTATTTTTTAATTTATTAATCTACTTATTATTTTTTTTTTTTTGTTTTATCAAATAATTTATTTAGAATCAAGAAATCAAGAAAGATTTATATAAACTCACAAAGGGACGAAGAATATATGTGATTGGTCGATTGGTCGATTGGGTACCTGTTTAACAGTTCAATCCCAGTGGATAGGGTTTGATGTTACGCCTTACGCGTATAGAAATTGATTCATCTCCATCTTAGGGTTGCAGTACAGCGTAGAGGCGGTGGAGAAGCCGGTAAATCAGGGGACGATTGCCTCACGTAATAACGGTAATCGTGAAAACCTAATCTTCCGATTCTATTAATTTCATTACTGTGTGATTTATGATACGGATCCCGATCCCGATTCGAGGACAATGGTTTTGTTTAGTTATTTTCTAGGGTTTGTTTTCTGTGTTTCTTTTTCTTTCTGATATAAGTTTCAATGATTCATCGACTCTGAATAAACAGTCTATTTATTTTGCATCAAATTTAGGCATAAAGATGTTTCAAATTGATCGAAAAATTAGTTTTTTTTTTCTTCACTGCTGATAATCGTTAATTGGAGGGAGCTGTTGACTATCGGATAACATGTATTTACAAAGTTGTTTCATTTTCATCTTAGTTTAGCTTTGTTTGAAGAAAACTCGAATATTAATGTAAAATCTGTGCATGTCTTGATTTTACCATGGTTTTATGTGTGTGATTCATGGAAATGCTGAATGTTTGGTATTGTTTAACTCTCTTGATTGGTTTTATTCAGCTCGTTTTGTACATGTTTGCTCCTATATACATTAGTTTTCTTACATGAAGAATTACTTAATATGTTAAGTATTGCTTACCATAAGCATAAGCATATGTAGTCTGCATCTATAGAGCTTAAATCAATTAACAATGATTGGGCAATTCTAACTGGGATTTAGTGAATTAATTATGCATATGCCAATATATCATAATATCATAAGGCAGTTGAATTGGTTTTGGGCTTTGGTTTTTGAACTCTTATTTAGGCTTCAAAAGTCAACCAACCGCAGATGGATGGGGAAAATAAGAATGGATCAGGTTTGTATGCAATTGCTACTTTCTGTTGAAAGAGTTTCCTCTAAATATGTTCAATTAGAATTATAGATACACAGAGAACAAGTCGCTTATATAAAAAAAATCTCTTTGGATTCTTTATACTGGTCATCAAGGTGTAGGGTTTTGACATCTGGCTTTCTCTTTGGATGCTTTATACTGGTCAACTTATTGTTACATAGGACACTCTGTACAAAAATATTATAATTAAAAAATATCCATATATCGATTGGAAATCTTGAAGAATAAAGTGTAAATCCTTTGGTTGGAAGATTAAGGTTTTATTAGGATGAGTTGATATAAATTTGATTCCAAGATTAGAATATGCTTATACTGAATTATTAAATTTTTTGATTCAGGGAACGAGACACAAGACATGGATCAAGATGTGCGGCACCTTGAATCCAGGTTACTAGATATTTATATTATTATTGAATGAATGACATAATTTTAAAAATATGGACATTAGAGAATAATAAGTTTGCATTAATTTGGATCTAATCGGTTGCTATCAACTATCTTTTAATTTGGATTTAAATGGTTTTTCATTTGTTTATATTTTTCAGGGTAGATAATTTTTCTTTGAATACGTTGGCCAACGATATAAATAAAATTCTGAGGTGTACTGTGTCCTTACTGGACAAGTTTGAAGATCTGGGCACTCGCTTACAACGTATCGAGGCGGAGTTGAAAAAATATCAACCAAAGCCAAAGCCTGAGATTCCTACAGAGGAGAAGCCACCTCCTTACAACCCAAACATATGTCTACCAACATTCCCTGACAAGTTTAATCTTGATGTCTTTTGCAACTGGGTTAAGGAGGTAGAATTTTATTTTGAGTATTATCGTGTCCCAAAGCATGAAAAAATAGACCTTGTAGCCAACACATTGCCACTTGAAGGAGAGGCTTTCAAATGGTGGCAAGATATCCAAAAGCTAAACAAGAAAGTCTATAAAAATGGTCCCTTTGGGTGGACAGAGATGAAGATGTTGTTTCTGGATAAATTCCTTTCTCCATAGATTGTTTGATAGCCAACCAAAAATCCAAAGTTAAGTTTCCTTGTGTTGGATTTCGAATTTATTTATCTAAGGAAATGGAATTTAAGGAAAATTAAAATCCCTATTGGTTATTTGCTTGAAAATAGTTGGATTAAGCAACGCTATATATATACTAGGAACATTTGAAGGGCCGTGGGTATTGTAAAAAACCGACTTAATGCAAAAATTAGAATTTATTCACACAGGATTTGATTTTCACCATATAATGGTTTGGTTTAGAAGCATTTATTTTTATTCTTTTAGAAGATTTAAACAAAAAACCAAACAAGCACACAAAGGTAGAGATGCAGAAATTAAAGTTACGAATATCATAGTAGAGAAGTATCTTGGGATGGAGAAGATTTTATTATTATCCGGTAATAATAAGAGGAATAACTATTAACCGGCAGAGTCCAATCATGGTTCAGTTTGTATATTTTCCCAATTGATAACTAATTGTTCGATTATGTTGATAACTTAATATTCAAATATATATATATATATATATATATATATATATATATATATATATATATATATATATATATATATATATATATAAAATTCAATGTGTATAAAATAATTAATACTTACTTACCATTAGATATGATTGAGGAATCAATGAATCTAAAGTTGCACCTAGATGGACACATGCAATTAGTCAATCACGAATCACGCACTATGCTTAACTACTGATTAATTTGGTTATTATTAATTACACAATTTGTGGAAGTGGCATTCAAATACAAAAAAAATATATGTTTTATTTTATTATTATACGATTTGAAAAGCTTACACACATTGGTTATCAAATATTTATTGTTGTTTTTTTTTTTAATACCTATATACTTTTACTTCAACATTATTTTTAAACATTATGGTTAACCAACATTAACCATCAACCAGAAAAAATACCATTAACCATAACCATTACCAACAAATACCAAAATGCATTAACCAATAATAATGGTTATGGTTTGATTTTATCCAATAATCGAACTAAACCATCTCATAAACAACTGTACTGATCGATTATCTTGGTTCAAATATAAAAAAAATTGGTTTTGGGGTCAAAGATATTAAAAAACCGAGAGAGCAGTAGAATTAAACAATGATGACAAAACGATTTTTTTTTCCAATGGGAATGGGTGTGATAAACCGTATGTTTATATTTTGTTTAATATTCAATTTTGAATCTTAAAAAAAATGAATTTCAAAAGAGCCAAAGAAAATTAACGAGTATAATTCGGTTTTTGATAAAAATCAAAATCTAGTGTTGACCGAACCAACTCGAAGTCAAATTCGTCTAGACCAAACAAAAAACCGAATTCTAATTCGTGTTAGTTCAGTTTGAAACCCGACAAAACCAAATATTATGTTAAAAATTTAGCGTTGTGATTTTTCAAACATAAATTACAAAGTTCTAATTTTCATTAATGTGGTGAGCCGAGACTATCTACGGTACCGTCGTTTGTAGCTTTGCAAGGTTCTTGCAGAACGTCAATTGCATGACATCATGAGTGGTGAAACTTAAATTAGCAAAAACGACAAATGAGGTATCGAGGACGATCAGACTTTCGTGAGATATTAGCGGAGTGAGGGTCATGAGTCATGAAAAGTGAGCCCTAAATTAATAAAACTCCAGAAGGGCCAAAATGTCTTTACTTTAATAATATTATTATTATTATTTAAAAAATAATATAGAAAATATAAAATATAGTTTTTAATTAATTATTAATGAAATTTAGTTTTTTGTTCGTTCTTATCCAAATTTTATGAGACCAAAACTCGAACCAAAAACCAAAGTTATAATTCGGTTTGGTCAACCAAAAAGCGAATTTAAATATGGTTTGATCTAAGATCAAACAATTTATTAGGGTTTAGTGTGTTAGAAAAGGGTAGGTGATGCAACATATAGAAGTTTATTATTTAGGCTTAAAATTGAAATTTGCAGTTGTTTTTGGTTAATTACAAAATTTGATAGACCAACACCTCTATAGAAGTTGATACCACCTCTCCCTTGTTACTGTGGGTACTTGTTATTCAAAAAAATTTTGAAAAAAAAATATGTAAAATTAAAATAGAAATAAAAAGAGAAGAAAATGACAACTATAAACTAAGCCAAACTTATACTATTAATATGCTCACATCTACTGTAATATTAATAATTAGATATTTTATTATTGAATTTATATGAAGAAGCACTACATTAGAAAAGATCAATAAGAAATTTGAGCAAACCACTACATCAATTAAGAACAAAAGATACGAACATTAATCTATTGAGCATGCGAATTTTAGAAATTGAATAAAAGAAAACAAAGTGAACAAACACAATGATTTACATGGTTCAACTGGCATTTATGATTCTTGTTAACTCTACGGGATAAACAGTATATCTCTATTACAAATTATATAAAAATTTGAACTTGTTTATAAAAAATTGCAATAATTTAAACATGCTCTTTTATCTTCCACCTTGTGCTTTTTGTCTATACGAAACAACACCTTCGAAATCCCTACCCAAATCAGATCACACTCACATAAAGATCAGGTCTCACATACACATACAGATCAGATCACACACACAGATAGATAAAGACACAAAAAATGAATTTACTTTACTATTTCTTTCATTTGGCGCTAACATTTTAACATATTGGCAAAAAATGAAAAATATAAGTTGGGGGGGAAGGGGGATTGGGGTTTACATGAAAACCAACTTCAGAGCTAAAATGCACCCCATAATATATAACCTGAAGCTACTTCTTTTTCTCATTAAAGAGAACAATGCATTTCATCTCTTATGCTCGATTTTCACAAAACCACTTGAAAAGAAAATTAGAAACCATTATTATTTTTTTTTACAGTTGTTGCTCGTTTGTATAATTTATAATTGGTGAATTTTGCAAAGTATAATCCCAACAAAGGAGTAGTAATAAAAGTAAAATGTTGTAACTAAAAAAAGTGAAAGTAGAATGCTATTATGTTCAAATAAGTTAAAGTATGTTGCTATCATCAATTAAAATAACATGAATTTTCATAAATATATTTTAAGAAGTGAAGTAGGATGTTATTATATACAAATAAGTTAAAGTATGTTGCTATCATTCAATAAAAATGACATATTTTCATAACAATCTTTTTTTCTTATCTTCTTATTGAGTTGTACTGACTTACAGAGGGTGTATGTGATATATTGGCATATTTTTTCTAGTTTGAGAAAATTTTCTGAGCACCCTGATAAACACACATTCACCTACAACTACAATATCCAACATTAACAATCTCGCTTTCTGCATTTTTCAAAAAGTGTCAAAAAAATATAAGAATCACACTATAAAGCAAAATGGAAAGAATACTTATAATTTATAGCATTCCACTTTCTTTTATATGTTCAATATAGAATCCTATTTCCAATTTTTTTCTAGTTAAAGTCACTATTTGAATCCCCAGTTTCACCTCGAAGCATCTATTCTTCAACTCCATGGTAGGGTGAATTAACAATTCTTGTAATTCTTTTTTTCAACCAACTGTTTTAAATTGTATGAGACGTTGGAAAATCACCATTATAATCTATTAATTTAGGAAAAAAGACAATCTAAATTAAATCCACGAATTCACAAGTATGCATATGTTATTAACCCAAACAGGATAATTGGAATCACAGACAAACCTGGTCCAAAAACATATGCATTAACTAATTAAAATAAACAACACAAGAATAATAAGTTAAATTTAGTACAACCAAGGATTGCAATAGAGAAAGATCAAATGCAAAAATTTCACACACACACACATACTTAAACAAACAGGTTGTATGTTTAGTTTACCTTTATAAACCAAAGAACATCTGAATGTAAAATCCAAGCCATCAACAATTTCAAAGCTTAGTAATATTGATTTCCCTACATGGGTGGTGGATTTCAACCTAAAATAAATAAAAATGAATTAACTTTGGTAAAAGAATATCTTCCTTCTTCCAAATTACATCAATAATGGTTAATTGACAACAAAACGAATAAGAATAAAAGGAATCAACATGAAATTACCAAATATCAAATGCCAAGCATCCGATCAGGAATAAGCAGAATGGGGAATCCTCTCGCAATCAATCTCTTCAAGTTCTGAATGAAGAAATTCTGAGAAGCCGATTATTCCAAAGTATATCCTTTCGTTGTATTCCTGAATCAATTAAGCGTTGAACCCTTAAATAACTATCACAAAAGAAGTCAAATTTGAAAATTGATAATACATCGATTAAGAAAAAATTGATTTTAGTAGAAATCCAGACCCTTATAGATCACAGAACCCTTTTTGAAACGATATGAACGAAGTCAAAGAAAAAACAGAAGAAATAAGAGATGTTTGTGATAAGTATTTGAGGAAAATCAAGAACGTACCAATCTATTGAACTAACTCCTGATCTTAGCCCAAATCTTTAAGATTCTGATTAAAAAAAAAAAAAGAAGGGATTGTCTGCGTGGTGGGTTTTTCGACAGATCAAGGGTGGGGGTTCATCGCTAGAGAAGTGGTGCGAGGGCAGATAATGCGTGGAGACGGTGATAAGAGGCAGTTTCTAGTGCAATGGCCGTATCATGGTGTGTAAAGGAGATTAGGGTTTTCAACATATACAACAGGGTAATACATTTAGGTAATACTTATACCTCTTAAATTTCAAAAAACATATATATATATATATATATATATATATATATATATATATATATATATATATATATATATATATATATATATATATATATATATATGAAAAGGGAATATACATTACAACCTTCACCCTATGAGTTCAGGGTGCTTTCCTGGCTCGCCTTCACTCATATCATAGGGTTGTGTTCAGTACGATCTTTAGCCTTTCTTCGTAAGATCCTGAGAACTGAAATGCCTAAAGACGGTGCTCAAGTCAGAAATGTGATCTTCTAGGGCAGGAATTCTTATATGCTAATTGCCTGAAATCCCTC